CACACAGAGAGAGAGAGAGAGTTCTAGCTATGAAATATTATCAAGTAAATATTCCATACTTTTCAAAAAATGGAGTGCAGATGTATACTTTTAATACTTCATAAATGGGATTCTCTATTCGTGAACTTTAATCTTACATTTCTTTATTCTACAGTTAGTTTGTAGCAAATGCTTTCGTCATAACTACTACTTGAATTTCTCCTCTATGTGGGAAACTTGTGCACGATTATGTCGGCAACTTTCAATATGTTATACGTCAAAGCTGGTACCGAATTCGATAGTGTTCTAGTGTTTCGACGCTTTTCTCTTGGCATGTTTATACCGAATACTGTATTCACATCTTACATTTAACGAAGTTGAAGCTTTTTCATCAAAGACGTCGCATTCTGAGGTAGAATAAAAGTAGAACAAAAGTTTGTAGATCAATTTTTAAAAACTGTTTTCAAAGAAACCTAATACCTATTAAATATTTAATACTCAATAACCAATGCATATTCACTGCATACTTATGCATTTATTATACATTTGTTATATCATATTCGCACGTAAATTCTTGGCTTTAAAAATATTTCAAAAAAATTATTACTATATTCTTGAAAAAAAAAAAAAAAAGATAAAGCTATTTATCGATTTAAATATAGCCATTTTAAATAATCCCAAATTTTATATATTATATGAAAATTGCGTTTTAGGTTAAAAATCAAATATTTATAGCGCAAATATTTCCGACAAAATTTGGCGTAAAGCTACTGGTTGTTTTTGTGTGGAGTGAGAATGGTGTTTATGGCAGTCGGGACTACTTTATGAACCTCAAGCGTAAGCTTCCTTAGCCTTTATAGTGCAGAATTAGAACGGTAATTTGTGTCCATGGCATCACACCGACGCGAACGAGTAAATTTATTGCGTGCCTAGCGATGCTCATCTTGTGGTTGGAAGTTTAACACAATTGCGACTACATTTAAAACTTTCGTCAAAGTTAAAAGAACTTCATTTTCATTTGGTAAAAAACATCAGTAGAATGACTATATTTTTATATTCCCATCACTCGCGTTTTCCATTGTAAAGAAAATCTAATTTAGGAGTTAACAACTTGTTTTGTGTTAAAAGTTACAAACATTTGATAAATTAAAACATGCTAAATTAAACAAGTATAAAGTCTAATTTTTTTATTACGCTTACAAAATTTCTTTTCTCTCCGAATTTGAGTGGCATAAATAATAATAAGCATTAAGAATTTTTTTTAAATTTCTTTTGAATATTATATAATTATAACATGTTTAAATCAAATTTTAAATCTAATACATTTTTTATTAACTGCTGAAAGTTTCAATTTCAATAAATTCATATTTTCCATTGCTTCTAATCAAAATTTTAACTAAACATTCAAGGCACAAAAAAAAACTTACGCTATACGATCTAATATAAGGGACAAATAAATAATAGAGATACTACTTAATATCGCTGAAACTCACGATTGTTAAAAGTTAATTTTAAAGTCAATATAGTCAATATATTGATATTTACCACATGAAACAATATTTCTCGGTGGTTTATTATCGTAACTTTAACCGAGAAAGTTGAAAGTCGATATTGGATAACATTTTTCGAGTTTTGCCTCGAGCGTTCGTAAAATTATTAAACTTATCTTGGGTATTCCGAGATAGTTTTGCAATAATAATACTTGCTTTAACGCGGGCGGTCAATATCAATCTTGCGGTTTAACTCATGAGGATCCAAATCCATCTAATTGCGCGTAATGATTATAATCAGTCACTTAAATCAGCTTACATCCACATGCTCACAACAATGAGAGTCTTTAGCGATTTGAATGAAGCAATTTTTAGCCGTCAAATAGTTTCCTAATGATCGTTCAATTTGTTTGGATAATCATTAATAAAAAATTGTTTTAAATATTAAGAAATCTTTAAATTAATAAAAAAATCTGTTCTACTGGATCAAATTAATAAAAATTGTTCACAATATACTTGAAATTCATAAATTAATAAATTAAATCTGCTTCAATGATGTCTGTCAAATAAATGTCTCAGCTATTTTGACCAGTTTAATTATTTCCACTAAATTTAATTGATTAAATCAATTAATTAGGAGATTAAATTCCTTTTTAAAGTATAAAAAAATTCATGGAAACAATGTTCTTATAATTTTACTAATATTACATTGGATCTTTTATGTTTTATTTATTTTAGACCTGACATAAACGCAATAAGGGCATTGACCTCGGCTCAACCAGGAGCAGTAAAAGGTGCTCCTGTAGCAGCTGTAAGCAGGGTTGCAGCTGAAGAACGCGAATTGCCTAGGCAAGGAAGTCTTGTCGACGGGGAAGGCATCAAAATCGTTATTCATGACGTCGACAGCGATCTTGGTAAGTCTTGTTATGAAAATAGTACCAAATAATACATGTATATACATACATGTTAATCTTTACTTCTGAGTTAATCTTTTCTTTTTACTACTTATCTTTTTTTTTATTTTGTATTTATTTATTGTTCTTCTAAATTTTTAGCTTATTTTTTTTATTCTAATTTTTATTATTTTTATCTATTTTTTGTTCGGAATACCGCCATAATATTATTATATCGTGAAACAATATTTTTTTGTCGCATGTTTATAAAAAATGATTATCTGTTTTCACATTTCACAGAAATAGAGATTCTCTTTATTGTTATTAGATTATGCAATAACTAAGGATATATGGGCTCATCCTTCATTAAACTTTTTGCGAATAGATTTACGCCTTATCGAGAAAACTGAGTATCCACAAATCGTAGAAATGTTCTGCTATGAGTGCAAATGTTAGCATTAAACAAAAAAAAAAAGGAAAAGATGAAGGAAAGGCAAGTGCGTTTGATCGATCGAGCTACGGTTTGCCGGGCGGTGATTCAATTCCGCGGATAACATCGGTTTCAGTTAACCTTAAGATTTTTATCCTGTCAGTGGTGGAATCCTGTTAATTAGGAATTGGAAATTTAATTTCGCAGGTTACCGTGCAATCCGTTCTCTCTCGAGAAGGCCAAGGTGCGAGTTCAAATACCGATTAACTTGCCATGAGAAATAACGAACGGCTCCGCGTCTTTGCACAGAATAACGCGACATTCGTGTTAATTATTTTGCAATTTTTAGTACAATCGTGCATCAGTCTCGATTCGCATACTGTTCCCGCGCTGACTTGCTTTTAACAGAATCACTCTTCCGCATAGGAGTGGCATTACAATAACTAAGATCGATGATATGCGCGCGTCGATATAGGAGACTCTTCCGCCGTCTTGTAAATGAGGAGAGATAATTTTCATAAAATAACACATCCTTATCGCGAGATAAAATGCATTATATTTATCGCGCATTAATCGCAACATTTTTTATGTATTTATGTGATGTATTCCCGCGGGATTTCCAAGTTTGTTGTAAAGAATTTTTACTTTTTGCAATTTATAACTGGCAGGATAGATAGATATTCTTTGCAAATTATTTTGAAAATGTATCAAAAAAAAAAGAAAATATAATTTTATTGTACAATCAAATGCACGACATATGTCATTAAAATGCATACATATACTAAAAAATCATTACTTGAACGTGTTAAGTTAAGAATATTTCTTATTTTTCTTTTTAAATATATAATACAGCAAAAAGCAAGATCTGAGATAATTTAATTTAATTTAATCGATAATCTTCTCTGCTACAATTCTTAAATATAAACGTAATTACATCAGAAAGCTAAAAAAACTTAACTATTCCATCGTTTAGATACAAAAATGTTATTTATTAATATATAATAACATATTATTTAGATATTATTTAATTTTTTAAATTTATAATGTTAAAAATAAATATTTAATGTAAAATAAGTTAGATAATAATTTTTTATGTCTAAACGGTTAACAATGATAAACGTGCAGGGTAATTTTTAAATATTTACTATCGTACAATGAGTACATGAGATCTGCATAGATAATTTTTACATTAAATAAACGATTTTATCATCACTATAGATGAGAGATTAACTTAATTCGGTTACGAAATAATATTTTTTTATTAGCTGACCCAATTTTTTAAGCTTTCCTGAAAGAACCATTCATTTTCCTATTATATTTGATTAAAGAAAAATCTCCTTGTAGAGTAACTCAATCTATTTCAACAAGCAGAAATTAAAGCTTTGATATTATATTATAATTTTATGAACTATAAATATATTCAAAAATAAATCATTATAATTTGTTTTAATAATCATTTTATATCTCACATAGTATATTTATAATATTTTTTAAAAATTCCTTTTATTTATATATACTCATTTCTGAAATGTTACAAAAAATAGTTCAGGGTCTAGTATACAAATGTTCTTTCATTTTTGCGATGTTTTCGCAACTAAAATCGATCATTAGTTGACGAAAAAAAGGAATTAATAGAATTATCTCACACGGCAATATCGTCCTCTCTCTCTCTCTCTCTCACGATTACAAAAAATTGATAGTCGGCAGCGGACGCCTGAAAGCACGCAAGAAGCGCTTGGATCTCTCCCAACGCGTACGGTTTACAGAAAATATTATCGCGAGACCACTCAACACAGTACTTCCCTCTTCATCGTGCGGGTCACCAAGTTACAACTGCAAAAACCGGCCGTTTCATTTTTCTCGCCTGGCAGGCAACTCCCCCGCTCCGCGCGCTATATCGATTGCAGTCGCGACAGTTATCGCGATCTGACACGCCATGTAGGAGCTACGTGCGAATCGCGATGTCTGTCCATGTGTTCATTAACGACGTGTCGATCGGAAGGCAGATTACGCCATCGTCTATCCCGCGCCGATGAAACTGCGATGCAACGAATTGCAACACGCGAGATGGAGCGAGAGACACGAGAGGCTAGAGAGGAGAGAGAGAGAGAGAGAGAGAGAGAGAGAGAGAGAGAGAGGAGAGAGAGAGA